ATTATTATTATTATTATTATTATTATTATTATTATTATTATTATTATTATTATTATTATTATTATTATAGATTTAATCTTCAGTTCAATTCATAGTCTGTGACTAATAAAAACTTAACACTTCAGGTTCTAACCAAGGATCTAAGAACTGTTAAGGTAATGTCTGAGTATGTGGACTGTTCAAATTAAAGGTTTTTTTTTTTTAAAAAAAGTCAGAATATTTAGGTTCAGAATTTCCCCATGTATCTAGGCAGCCCTTTGGGTAGCTGCTTCTCTTCAATTAGTGTATGACCCGGTTTTGCAATACCAATGAACCAGACTTTTTTCTTTTCCACAATAGCAGTATCAGGCATGTTGTTGGTGAGATATCGGTCTGCTTGGATTTGAAAGTTCCACAGGATCTTTCAACATGTTCATTTTCAAGAACTTTGTCAACTTGGTGTTCCCAGTAATTTTTGCTGCATTTGAACTCAAAACTTCTGGCAAAGCTTCCAATGTATGATTTTGGCAACTTGATCATGATGTTGTAGATCAGGGGTCCTCAAACTTTATTTGCAGGTCTTTGTATTTTGTTATCTTTTCCAGTTCGTTCTCTTCTCTGCTGCTGTCTCCAGGTACTGCCGTGTCCACTATCAATACTTTTTTTGCCTTTCTTATCTGCAATTGTTAAGTCTGGGGTGTTATTATAAGTCAGGGACAGCTGGAAGATTTGCGTGCATTACGCTTATTTCTGTTGAATGAAATGTTCCCCCAGAAAGCTTTGTAGGCTGGAAAAATGTGACAGTTGCCCTCCGTCCCAATTAGCAAGCAAGTTGTGGCACAATGCTTAGATTCTTGAGTCTGCTCCACCATGAACAATGATAACTGAATATATCTCGCGGATTGTCCAACAATCTGTATTATTTTTCTTGCATTAGTGTTGGCAAATTTGGTGAAGATCTACGTGGATACTATCTGTAGTGGGAAACTTCCCTGCCCGGAGAATGCAGTCTCAGCCTTGTCTGAGACTGAGAACCGTTTAGCTGTGGAGGAAGCTGTTGCTCACTATGTGAAACTGATGAAGCAAAACGTGGAGCTACCCACTGAGACTCTCCAGGAACTTCTGGACATACACAAAAAATGTGAGGAACAAGCCCTCCAGAAGTTCATGGCTCGTGCTTTCAAGGATGATAAACGTCAGTTCCAGCATAAACTCATGGTAGGTAATCTCGTAAGATGCTAACATTCATTGACAATAATTAAGACTTATGGGTTGGTCTCCAGTAGTTTCTCTATTTATAAGAATACAGAACAAGGGGATAGCAAAACATTTTTAATTAAAGAGAAGAACCTTCCTTGTTTTATTTCTACCTGGAAGATTCTTCTGGACATTTTGCTCAAAACCAGAAAAAAATGAAACTTTGCTTTTAATTCTTTTGCTGACAAATGAATTTGTTGTTAAATAAATGGCTTGTAATATCTAGAAAAGTGAAACAAAAGATTGGGTTTGTGGGTTTTGTTGGGGGGGGGTTGAATTTTACGGCGCTGGCAAAAGTCAGAAATCACTTTCTCTTTACATTTTTCTTCTTTCTTCAACTTTTAAATTTTTTGCTTCTCCTTGTACTTTTATAATAAAGTTTAATAAAATATTTTAGAGAAGAATACAAAACATAGAGTTCTTGCTATAGCTCACACAAGTTGTGTAGATGTTCTTAGCTAATAAATTGGTGGTGCCAGGTGTTTTGCCTGGAAGTGTGCCTAGAAGGATAAAAGATGGATGTGGGAATGAACCCCCAGAATGATTGAGAAAATGGCAAGGAATGTCATCATCAGCCGTTTTGGACAATTATGTTCCTTCTATAAGAATGAATTGCTGGCTGGGAAATTCTGGGAGCTGAATTCCACACATCTTAAACCGCCAAGGTTGAGAAACACTGCTCTAGTTAAATTGAAGGACGAGCATAAGTCATTTCAAATTGTGATGAAGCTCTGTTTAATCACGGGAGATCACCCAAATGTATACAGTGCACAAACATAGATTTGTTTGTCAAGTCTCAGCTCTTGCTTTGTTATCTTTTATTCCTGCCAGAAAATTGTGAACAAGAAGAAGGAAAAGTACTGCAGGAAAAATGAGCAGGAATCTTCTAAAATCTGTTCAGCTTTATTGAACTCACTCTCTGAGAACCTGGAGCAGAACATCAAGAACGGAAACTACTGCCGATCTGGTGGCCACCAGGAATTTGTAAATGACCTCCAGAAAGTGGAGAAACAATACTTGGAGGAACCTAAGAAAGGAATAATGGTACAAAATGATGAGGGTTGCTGAATGAATATTCACAAAGGATGTTGTCATTCTTTAGGCCAGGAAAACACTTGAGGGAGCTGTTGGGAAAGTGAAGCATGTTGTAATGTGTAGGTAATCTTCGATTTACTACCACAATTGCGACCAGAATTTGCATTGCTAAGCAAGGCAGTTATTAAGTGAATCACGTTGACTTTTACGAAATTTTGTGTCACAATTGTTAAATAAGTCATTGTAGTTAAGTGAATCGTACAGTCATTAAGAGAACTTCCCCCATTTATTTTGTTCATCAAAAGCCAATTGGGAAGATCACATGACCGTGGGATGCTGCAGCTGTCATAAATATATCAGGTTAGGTTATTTTGACTGTAAGGAAGCTGTGATGGTCATTGAAGTACAAGGTCTGATCTTTTTAAGTGCTGTGGTAACTTTGAATAGTTCTTAACGGAATGCAACCATTGTATATTGTGGAGCCTGGTCATGTGAGAGTGAGTCCTAACAAAGAACCATAAAACAGAATTCAAAATAGGGAAAATACATTACAGATACAGTGTAAATGATGAAACACTGTCATGCTGATATAAAGCAAGCTGCACTGCTTTTGTGTGCCAAGCAAGATCACAACATGCACAAAAGGGTGACAGAGCTTTTGTTATTTGCTGCTTCCTCTAACCTTCCCTCAGATATCTCTGACGAACTGTTTCCTACGATTCCATGTTTGAAATCCTCAGAGAAAGGTGTTTGCCCATATGGGTCAAAATTTATGTACCCAAAAATGAATCTGAGATAGCAAAGCATATGCAAACCAAGAACTATTGAAAAGAATAAGAACAAACGGACTGATACCGGTAGATGGATAAACCTTAGAACAGGGGTCCCCATCCCCCAGGCCGTGGCACCAGAAACTTGTGCAAATGGAGCTGCGTTTGTGCCTGCCTCTTCCACACAGCTCCATTTATATGAATTGACACTTGAGTGCAAGTGTGCTTGCACAACTGGAGCTACACGCACATGTATGGTCTCCTGAGGTTCGCATGGCCCAGTTCTGATCAGGCTGCAGCCTGATAGAAGGCATGGCTTGGGGACCCTGTTCTAGTCCAACCCCCTGTTCAGGCAGGAAACCCTACACCTGTGTTGGTGAACTTTTTTGGCAAGTGCCGAAATGGGAGTGCATGTGTGTAGGGGAGTGCCAAAAACTGGAAAAGCCACTCTCCGGTGTGCCCACACAATAGCTCCGGAAACCGGAAGTGCAGTTCCCTGGTGTGCATGTGCGTGCCGGGAAGCTGAGCTTCCGGTTTCCGGCATGCACATGAGCGCCAGTCACCAGGTCTTCTGGTTTATGGTGTGCATGCATGCTCGAAGACCAGCTGGCCGGTGCGTATGCATGTGCCAGAAACCAGAAGCTCAGCATGCACGCCAGGGAGCTGCTCTTCCAGTTTCCAGCACTCCTGCGTTTGCGAAGACCAGCTGGTCTTCCAACCCGAAAGAGCAACGGGCGACGGCTGGCATGCCTGGAAAGATGGCACTGTGTGCCACTTATGGCACGCATGTCATAGGTTCACCATCACTGCCCTACACCATTTCAGACAAATAGTTGTCAACCTCTTCTTAAAAGCCTGGTGATGGAGCATCCACAACCTCTGGAGGCAAGATGTTCCACTGGTTAATTGTCCTCCCAATTAGAAAGTTTCTCCTTAGTTCCAGGTTAGTTTCCATCCGTTGCTTCTTGTCCTGGCGCCAGGTGATTTGCAGACTAGGTTGACCCCCTCTTCTTTGGGGCAGCCCCTCAAATATTGGAAGACTGCTACCATGTCACCCCTAGTCCTTCTCTCCGTTAAACAAGACATTCACAGCTCCTGCAACCTTACTTTGTATGTCCTCATCTGATAGCCGTGCTGTCATCCTCCAGGGAGATTGTTCAGTATCTTGTTTTCACAAAACTCATTGTTGGCAATTCTATACTGCTCCAGATTATTCTCTCTCTCCCCCCACCCCCCACCCCGCCCTTCATTCAGGCAGGTGAGACCCTGAAAAAATTCCTCTGTAGCAAGGAAAACATCAGCAAATTCATCCTTCGAAATGATGAAAGCCTTCAACAGAAGGAGGCGGAAATAGAAGGTAAAGGCATGAATAAGCTGCCAGATGATGCTGGGATGTTTCTTTTGCTTTGACCACCTCCTCTCGACCCATAAGATCGCACAGATTAGGCCTCCTCCGAGTGCCATCTGCCAGCCAGTGCCGGCTGGCAACTACGCGGAGGAGAGCCTTTTCAGTAGCAGCTCCGACCCTCTGGAACGATCTCCTCGTGGAGATTCGTACCCTCACCACCCTTCAGACCTTCCGCACAGCCCTCAAGATCTGGCTATCCCGTCAGGCCTGGGGGTAAAGAGTATAATCCGCCCCCACCCGAATGCTGTATGAATGTTGCTCAATTTTAATTATACATTGTGTTTTTATGTCATTGTATGTTTCCCCCTCCCATACAAGTTGTTAGCCGCCCTGAGTCCCCTCAGGGAAAAGGGCGGCCTATAAATAAACTCAACTTCAACTTCAACTTCAACTTTGAGGGTGGGAAAAATCTTTCCTTACACCAAACCCACCACTAATTGGGGAAATGCTTTCCTCTCTGCTTAAACACTTTTTGTACTGTAAGATGAAGTTGTTTCCTTTTTTTCTGTAGGATTATCCAATATTTGTAACTGTCCTCATTTATATAAGGTATTATATGTATTATATGATATTACATAAATGTATTGCAAAATATTCAGGAGGAGAGCCCAGGGCCTTTTGAAGGACAGCATCATGAAGGAGCTGATCCAAGAATATCACACCCAAGTTTAAAGGTTGTTTAGAAAAGAGGATGCTAAGACAAAGAATTCTCTTTTCTAAAATAATCATGTTATTCTTTTCTTGCCTCTTTGCACAATATTCTTGCAATTCCCCCATAGCATATAACCTTCTCTTGTCCAAATTCCATGGACAAGTGAGGTGAGGCTGGAAATATGCACTGATAGTCCTCATTTAAAGACAACTTGTTCCACTATCACTTGAACTTGCAATACTGCTGAATGAATAGAAGGTACGACCGATTCTTACAAAGATGGCAATCAATGTTTCTTGGGGTCAAGTGATCATCATCTGCAACTTTCACTTCATGCTTCCAAAAAGTAAAGTCAGCAGGAAGTTGAAATTGGGACTATGTGACATCATCACAAGATGATGCAAGATTTGCTTAATGATGTCAACCAGACCTGCTAGAACTGCTGTCATTAAACAGCAGAGTCGCATGATGTTGTATTTTATGACTGAGTAGCTAAGTGATGGAGATTCTGATCCTAGTTAGTATAATTAATCAAAGATTGCCTGTATGCCAAATATACTTATTTATTACATTATTTGCATACCATAATGTGTAGCCAACTTGCAAATAACCTGTCGATGTCTCACTCTCTTTTTTTCCCTGTCTAGATGCAAGGATGAAAGCAAAAGCAAAAGAATTAGAGGGTGAGATTCAGAAGCAGAATGAGGAAATGTTGAAACAGAAGCTTGAAAGCGAGAAAGAGAGTTATGAGATGAACCTTCAGAAGCTAAAGGAGAAATTGGAGGAAGAAAGGAAGCAGATCCTGGAAGAGCAGGAGAAAATGATCCAAAGCAAACTGAAGGTAACACTATAATCTCAGCAAGATTTTGTTGTAATTAGGCAGTAGGATATTAACAAACAAGTAAACTTCCAAAACTGAAAACCAATAGATTTAGGACTAGTGTATCAGACGTATGTCTTTCTTATTTTGTCACATCCTCACCATTTTAAGTCTTTTTTTTAATCTTCTCTTTTTTTCTTCCCCAAAAGTTTCTTTTAAACATACATATAATATAATCCAAAGTATACCATTACATCTTAACAAACATTTTTTGAATATTCAATAATATATCAATTCCTCTTGCCATGAAGCCTCGTCAATTTTTGTTTGTTCTTCTGCTTTCCATACACCATATTATAGTCTATTTCACCTTCAACCCTTCTCCTCTCCCTCTCTCCTCCTCCCTACCTCCTTTCTTCCCTCTGCCATCTCTCTCTTCTCTACTTTCCCTTGCTCTCTCCCTCTCCTCTCCCCTCTTTTCACACCTGCCCTCTCTCCTTCTCTTGCCCTCCCTTCTACTTCCCTCTCCCCTATCTCCTCTCTCTTTCCCTCTCTTTATCACCCTTCCAGTCTCTATTTTACATGGTGTATTTATGCCTTTTAGCTAGCCCCATTTAATATCAGTGGCATTAATAATTATATTCCAAAAAACTTTTTTTCATATTACTAATGTTACATACTGTTTTTCTTTTAAAGATATACCTTTATACAAATTCCATTTGTTTCCTCTCCCCCCCCCCCCCATTACTTTAAGTTATTTTGATGAGGTTGAAACACATTTATTTGCATGGATAAGTCAATGGGACTATCTAAAGAAAGCAAATTATAGAATCGGTAAAAGGGGGAGCACCCTAAAGGTTTCTATGGTCAGGAGGATGTGCTGTGAAACAGCAATGAGGAATAGAACTAGTCACAATAGTTCATAGCACTTCCAGAGTTTTCGTATAGGTCCTTAACCAAAGTCTTGAAGAATGAAGGCAGCATTTCAAACACTAGAGGTAGCCCTTGTTTACCAGTTACCCATTCTGCAATTATTTAAAATTACATCACAGGAAAAGAAGATACATAACTGGTCCTTGACATTGTGACCATCACAGCATCACCATGGTCACATGATTGTGATTTGCTCATATATTTCTAACTTTTCAGCGTCCTAAGTAACGCAATTGCCATTTGTAACCTTCGCAGCCAATGTCTGATAAGTAAAGGGTCAAGTTATCATACTGTGGACATGTTATGCAAAGAGCTTTCTGGGGAAGGTTCTAATGCTGGGAAAGGTGGAAGTCAAGAGATTATAGCATCTGTTATAGGAGTGATTGATGTACCAATGGAACACTTGAAGGATCAGGTAGGAAACAGATTGTTTTGAAGAAAATCCATCTGTGTAATTGCTAAGAATTGACATCAATTTGACAGCATATAATCCATCCATCCATCCAATCAAAAGTCAATTGAGCTTAATTTCTTCCATGCAGAAAATAGATCCAGTCATGCGGAAGACGTAAAAAACAACAGAGAAAGGCAAAGAGGGAAATGTATTGTTAGAGGAACAAGCAAAAAGAAAATATGGGGACAGACTTTGCTAAAACCAAAGACGGTAAAACAAGAGGAAATGAAGAGAGGATTTCCCCCCCCCTCTTAAAGTTATGGTGGAAAAGAATCTTCTGTGATTTGGAGAATGAGGGTTTCTGACACAGACAGACAGACAGACAGACAGACAGACAGACAGACAGACTTTAATCCCGACTTCCTATGTAGTGTAGAAGCCACATGAATCGATCACTGCAGGATACACTTCGCCCTGAAAGAAAGAGTAACCTAGCTGAACTACAGGGAATTAATGGGGTGCAGTAGTTCATATGAGATGCTTTCCTGCTTTTTCCCTTGCAAGATTTTACTTTGATAGGAATTGTCCAAATACATCTTAAATTTATTTCTTCATTGGCTACATTCTTGAACATGATCTGCAACAACAATTATGTTATATTGCTTTCAGTCTAATAATGTTGATGTTTGTTTGTTTCCAGGAACAAAAGGATTTCTTGGAAAAGGGTTTCGAGAACGAAGCAATCCAGATGAATAAGAAGATCGAAGAACTCATAAGTGAAAAGGAAGAGGTGGAAGATGAAAATTGGCTAATCTCAGGTTTAGGAGCCCTGAAAGGATTTTTCACTGAAAAAATTATTGAGCCAATTGTAGAGTGGTTTGAAGATCTAATGGACAGTGACTGATCAAGTGCCTTTTCATCCTAGAAATCACCTGGTGTATTCTTACTAAAGTTATTTTGGATAAGTTTTGTCAATTTAAATTTATGGTGTGCAAAATCATGCTCAGATTTTTGGGACATTTCTTTACGAAATTTGAGATTTAGCATTTTAAGGCTTTGTGATTCAAGGTTCTGGCTTTATGTTAAGCTCCTGTTTGTTTGTTTGTTTTAATCGGGTGACCATTTCATAGCGACGTAGGCTCCTTCTCTAAGTAAATATACTCTTCATTTCCCACTTCCTCTGTATTTTTTTTCTTTCCTGGCCATTAGATGAAATCAAAGTGATTGAAAGTAGAGAATCACTTGCAAAATTTTTAAACTGCTTTTTTAAAAAAGTAAACACAACTCAAAGGCCCTGAGTTCTAATCCCACCTTAGGGATGAAGCCAGCTGGGGTGTTCTTGAGCCAGTCCCTCTCTCTCAGGCCCAGGAGGGGGGAAATGGCAAACCACGTCCAAACAACCTTACAAGAAAACTGCAGGGCTTAGTTGGGGAAGTCACCAGGGGTCAACAATGATTCCAAGGGAGAGAAAAATATATGAAATTGAAAAGTAAAACAAGCTCCAAAATCCCTGTCCTGCACTGTCCTCTTCTGGCTGCAGATCAGTTGCTAAGGATGACTTGGTATATACCTAGACATAAAGTACTGTATAGNAGAACAGAACAACAGGAGTGGAGTGGAGTAGAGTAGAGTAGAGTAGAATAGAATGTATGGAATGGAATGGAACAAAACGGAATGGAACAGAACAGAATAGAAGAGAGTATATGGAATGGAATGGAATAGAATAGAATATGAAGGAATAGAATATGAAGGAATAGAATACAGTAGAGTAGAGTAGAGTAGAGTAGAGTAGAGTAGAGTAGAACAGAACAGAACAGAGCAGGAGCAGGAGTAGAGTAGAGTAGAACAGAACAGAACAGAACAGGAGTGGAGTGGAGTGGAGTAGAGTACAGTAGAGTAGAATAGAATGTATGGAATGGAACAGAACAAAACAGAATGGAACAGAACAGAATAGAAGAGAATATATGGAATGGAATGGAACAGAATAGAATATGAAGGAATAGAATAGAATAGAATAGAATAGAGTAAAGTAGAGTAGGGTAGGGTAGGGTAGAGTAGAGTAGAGTAGAGTAGAATAGAATAGAACAGAACAGAACAGAGCAGGAGTGGAGTGGAGTAGAGTAGAACAGAACAGAACAGGAGTGGAGTGGAGTGGAGTGGAGTAGAGTAGAGTAGAGTAGAGTAGAATGTATGGAATGGAATGGAACAAAACGGAATGGAACAGAACAGAATAGAAGAGAATATATGGAATGGAATGGAATAGAATATGAAGGAATGGAATAGAATAGAATAGAATAGAATAGAATAGAATAGAGTAAAGTAGGGTAGGGTAGGGTAGGGTAGAGTAGAACAGAACAGAACAGAACAGGAGTGGAGTGGAGAAGAGTAGAGTAGAATAGTATAGAATGTATGGAATGGAAAGGAACAAAATGGAACAGAACAGAACAGAATGGAAGAGAATAAATGGAATAGAATAGAATAGAGTAGCAGAGTTGGAAGGGAACTTGGAGGTCTTCTAGTCCAACCCCCTGCCTTGGCAGGAAACCCTATACCACTTCAGACAAATGGTTGTCCAATATCTTCTTAAAGACTTCCAGTGTTGGGGCATTCATAACTTTTAGAGGCAACTTGTTCCACTGACTAAATTGTTCTAACTGTCAGGAAATTTCTCTTTGTTTCTAGGTTGCTTCTCGCCTTGATTAGTTTCCACCCATTGCTTCTTGTTCTACCGTCAGGAGCTTTGGAGAATTTTGGGAGTTCTAGTTCAGCCTTAGGCAAGAAAGCTGGCTGTGAGTTTGCGCCAGTCCCTAGGAGATGGTCGTAAGTCAAAGACTACCTTTATTGGAAAGCATTTATGACCTGAAGCTGGACAGCAGAAATATCTTGAGATCATCAATTTCCTTTTCTAGCTTCATTATGGAGAAACATCTCCCAGAGGATCCCCTTTGGGATCTTATTCTAGAGATGATGTCAAAGGCAATAACGAAGCTGTGAATAAGCAAGGAAGAGGGAGAAGATAAGAAGGATTCAAGATAAGCTCTCCCAGGACCTTCAAGTTTTGCTTTATTTTGGTTGAAAGTCAGAATTGGGAAATCTGAAACTCAAAAGCTTCTGGTCTTGGGAAGTGACTTCCTTCCTCCACTTCCTGGACCGTGATTGCAGCATGACACCTTAAGGAGAGATCTTAATCTTCTCGGCTATCGG